CGTCGTCGAGAGTGCGTCAAACCGCCGTTGCGAAACACCGCATCATTACCGATGACGATTCGCGCGCTGTGCATCGATCGCCGTACAGAGTCTACGTTAAAGAAAGGGAGGTGATCCAGGAGCAAGTGCAAGAGATGCTGAACGACGACATAATCCAACCTTCAAGCAGTCCGTGGGCCTTTCCAGTCGTACTGGTTAAGAAGAAGGACGGAACGCTCCGGTTCTGCGTGGACTACCGGCAGCTGAACGCGGTGACGAAGAAAGACGTCTATCCACTCCCCCGCATCGACGACACGTTAGACCGGCTGCGTCACTCCCGATACTTTTCATCCATGGACCTGAAGAGCGGCTACTGGCAGATCGAAGTCGACGAACGGGACCGAGAGAAGACAGCTTTCGTCACGCCAGATGGGCTGTACGAGTTAAGGGGATGCCCTTCGGACTGTGCACGGCTCCAGCAACTTTCCAGCGTGTCATGGACACCATTCTGGCAGGACTGAAGTGGCAGAGCTGTCTCGTCTACCTCGATGACGTCGTAGTGTTTTCTAGAGACTTCGACGAGCACTTGCGACGACTCCGAGCAGTTCTCCAAGTCATGCGGACCGCCGGACTCACCCTGAAGCCGTCAAAGTGTCGGTTCGCCTATGACGAACTGAAGTTCCTAGGTCACGTGGTTAGTAACGAAGGCGTTCGCCCCGACCCAGAGAAGACTCGCGCCGTCGCAGCAAGAAGGCCGTGTGACGGTTTCTTGGACTATGTGCCTACTATCGGCGCTTCATCCGGGATTTTGCAAGGATTTCCGGACCGCTCACAAACCTGACAAAGAACGCCGAGAAGTTCGAGTGGGCCGAGGAACAGCAGCAGGCATTCGACGAGCTGAAGCGACGACTGCAGACTCCTCCTGTTCTAGGACATTTTGACCAAGATGCGGAAACCGAAATTCACGCGGACGCAAGTAATGCTGGACTTGGCGAGAGAATGGTTCAAGTGCAAGAAGGCACCGAGCGAGTTATCGCCCACGCAAGTCGGACACTGCCCAAGGCGGAGAAAAATTACTCCACGACTGAGAAAGAATGCCTTGCGGTCGACTGGGCAATCACGAAGTTTCGTCCGTATTTGTACTGGAGCCCGTTCCGTGTAGTCACGGACCACCACTCGCTCTGCTGGCTTGCGAACCTCAAGGACCCGTCAGGACGCCTCGCTCGATGGAGTCTACGACGACAAGAGTTCAATATGACCGTGGTCTACAAGTCAGGCCGCAAGCACAGCGACGCCGACTGCCTGTCCAGAGCCCCTGTCGAAACACCTTCCGGCAGCAGCAACGACGATGACGACGAGTGCTTCCTAGGTGCAGTGAACAGCGACGACATGGCACGACATCAAAGAGACGATCCTGAGTTGCGCGCGTTAATCGAGCACCTCGAAGGACGAGGGGCTACTGTCCCCCGTGTCTTGTCGACTGCCCTGCCGACTTTCGTCTTCCGACAAGGTGTACTTTACAAGGAGACTTCGGAGACAACAGCGCACCATGGCTGCTGGTAATCCCTACCGACCTTAGAGCGGAGATCTTCCAAGCCTGCCACGACGACCCGACGTCCGGACACCTTGGTTACAGCCGCGCGCTGGCCCGAATTCGTGAAAGGTATTACTGGCCCAAGGTGCCGAATACCTTTCACGGTATTCGGCACCTTGGGCACTTCTACACACGGTCCTGCCACGAGTGCCAGCGACGCAAGGAACCGCCGACGAAGCCGGCAGGTCTCCTGCATCCGATCGCTCCCCCGACCGTACCGTTCCAGCAGATCGGAATGGATCTACTTGGTCCTTTCCCACCATCGACGCAAGGAAACAGATGGATTATTGTTGCCGCAGATTATCTCACACGGTACGCCGAAACGAAAGCCCTTCCTGCAGGGACTGCAGTGGAAGTCGCCAAGTTCTTTATCGAGTCCATCGTCCTCCGGCACGGCGCTCCCGAAGTTTTGATCTCAGACCGTGGATCATCGTTCATGGCCAAGCTGACGCAAGAAATCCTTCGTCTCAGCCACACCAGTCATCGGCGCACAACGGCGTACCACCCACAGACCAATGGGCTGACGGAGAGACTCAACAAGACCATCGCCGACATGATCTCCATGTACAGTGCTAATCACACTTGCCTATAACGCGCGAGCGAGCGGCTTTCTCCGGGGAGCACTAGACTGGTGGCATTCGCGGAACTAAGCTAGTCACGTGGCGCAACATGGAACGGCCCGCTCGAGGGGTGTCCTGCCCACTCTATCAGCTTGATAAGCGATAAAAATAAAGTTCTTTATGATATATTTTTTTTTTTTTTTGATGACGAAATCGTTGATACGCCTTCATGCTTTAGTGTGTTATTGTTCGAGCAATGAATGATGTTTGTAAAAAGCGTGCGAGCAGCCTTCCGTGTTCGCCGCCAGCTGATAGAGTGGGCAGGACGACAGCCCTCGAGCGGGCCGTTCTATGTTGCACCACGTGACTAGCTTAGTTTTCGCGAATGCCACCAGTGTAGCGCTCCCCGGAGAAAGCCGCACGCTCGCGCGTTATAGACAAGTGTTACTAGCACTGTACGTCGACGTGGAGCACAAGACATGGGACGAGGTGTTGCCGTAAGTCACATTTGCCTACAACACGGCCGTGCAAGAGACCACCGGGGTGACACCCTTCCAACTGGTTCATGGTCGCAAAGTAACGACAATGCTGGACACGATGTTACGCCACGAACCGGCGGTCGACGGAAGCGACGACGCCCAGGTGGTTGCCCAACGGGCAGAAGTCCGCCAGCTCGCCAGACACCGTATTCAAGCCCAACAACGTGTCAACACTGGCCGCTACAACCTTTGTCGTCGGGACGTCCACTTCCAACCCGGAGACAGGGTGTGGGTGTAGACACCGATCCGCCGCCGTGGTCTCAGTGAAAAACTCCTAAAGCGCTACTTCGGTCCCTACAAAGTACTTCGTCGACTCGGGGATCTGAACTACGAGGTGATGCCCGACGGAACACGGACTTCATCACGCCGCGCTCCACGACCGGAAGTCGTCCACGTCATGAGCCTCAAGCCGTACTACGCACGATAAGACTGCGAACTGTGATCTTGTGCACTGCTTGGTAGGATTGTGTTTCGCGAGCCTCCGTAGGTTCCCATTCTCCTGTTTGTTCCGCTCTGTTTTGTTGCCTTTTACGTGGCATCGAGACGATGCCCTTTTTAAAGGGGGGAGTATTGCCACGCTCGTCGGCGAGGGACCGCGTGCGTGGCCGAGTGGTTACCGTGCTTGACTGTCGCGCGGAAAGTCTGGGTTCGATTCCAGTCAGTGGAATGCTCTTTCATTTATTCTTTCAACATTGCGTTCTAGTGTGTTCGATAACATTCTCGTATGATCGAGTTCCGAATGTTCCAGTCGCCGAACAATCTAGGCCGATTGTTCCAGAACCCAACGCGCGTACATAAGGGACTCAGCGTGCTGATCTGCAGGCAGTCTCGCCCGAGCGTTCGACTCTGCTGTTACGCCGACTTCGACGCTCTGTTATTATCTTTTGTACCCTTTTATTTTTGGCACAATTTCGCCACCATTAAACGTTTATTTCTTCTTGTGTATTTATTGGTTTTTGGTCACCACCCGTGACAATATATCCGTGAACAACGCTTAGCTAGTACACCGACGACAGTCAAACCTCAATGGCGTGAAGGCAATGCGACTGAAACAATTTCGACTAGCTGTTTCAGAAGCTTTAATGCATGCAAGCTCCCCGAAAAGAGGGAGACCTTCTTCCACCCTCGATGAAGAACCTGCGGCGCAGCGCCCAAGAATGCAGACCACGGCAGCACCTGTCACCGATGTGCGCTACGACGGTGTGGGTCACCTACCAACACTGGAAGGCAAAGGTCGCTGCAGATACTGCCCAAGCGGCCAAACATCAATTGCCTGTGAAAAGTGCCAAAACGGCTTTGCATAGTGACGGGAAAGTCCCCAAGAAACTGCTTCAGGTTGTACCACAAGAAGTAATTCTTGTTTCAAATATTTAACATTTTGTTAGCCCCTAACGGGCAGTGTGCACTGGGAGATACATGTCCTATCTCTTAAATGTGAAATAAAATGCCACAAAAAAATAATGTTTTGGTACTTGAATTGGTTCCTTAAGGAAATACTGATTGTGATATAATATTAATTCCATTTTTGTATGACTGCCCGAATAAGGGTTTTAAGCAATTCGCGACAGAGCAAAGGCACGTGCTCAGAGCTGGTCTGCTCTAGCCCACTGGGCCACCGATACCCCAGGTAGACGTCGGCTCAAACGAAATTCGTGTTCCTCAGTATTTTATTTTAGACAAGAAACGTTACAGTTTCAAGCTTTCGCGTCCATCTATCCCCAAGTTTCCCAACCGTCAGCGTCATATTCTCACTGAGTCTGAGCTTTCTGCGATGCATAGTTTATTTACCCGAGCTGAAAATTACGGGCCTCTTTTCTCGGAAACTTATTTATTTTGCTGTCTAGTGGCACTGTTCTAACCTTGGGAGCTACAGGCCTATACTTCTGTTTTATAAGTAGTGCATTAAATGGATCCTGACAAAGTTCCGCAAAGCTCCCAGTATGGTCGCCATGGTGTGAGCAGTTTATTTTTTCTATTCTTGGTGAGCTGATTTGAAATTGGGGTGACAGGTTCTTCATGAAGAAATTTATTGTATTCTGAGAATTTGTTATTTACACACTGTTGTGTCGCGCCGAAGCGCCAAAGAACAGAAGCTCCCACGCAGAGCAACAGCACACAAAGAACAAATTTAATATGGCGAAGACACATTTTACAGGGCAAAGACCAGCGCACCCTGGTGGTGAGAATAGGAACCTGTGACATTGCTTTATACATACACAACATTCCTCCACACTTACATAAAGCAACACTAGTACAACAGTCTATTTGGAGGGCGTCGAGCTCTGCTCGACCGTCGAACTTCCTGAGCAGCTAGGCCACTGCCAGCATTCAGTGGCATAGGCACCTCACATTCGCCCGGTTCATCAACACTCTCACTGTCACTCGATCCACTCTCCGAAGAGGCTGATCGGGACGAGCCCTCACTTCGAAAGCGCAAGTGATCAGCATGCACATAACGAATCTGGCTAGCCACCCGCACCAAGTATGTAACCGGACTGATTACTTTCTTTAAAATGCCTTTGGTCCAGTTTACTCTCTCCCCCCTCACATTTCTGACCCAAACTCTGTCGCCCACTTGAAGGAGTTTCGTTGGACCTCTGCGCTTGTCAGCCAGCTCCTTTTTCTTGTTTTGCTTCTCTCGTCGTGGAAGGGACGTTGCGCCTGGCTTGAGCTGCGACAGTCGGGTCCGCGGAAGCCGTCCCAGGAAGAGCTCTGCAGGTTCCTTTCCAGTACTTGTGTGTGGTGTCGTCCGGTAGGCGAGTAGGAAACACGACAACTTCTCATGGATATTCCTTCTCTTCCCTTGGAGGTCGTCTTCAAGTACCTGCTTGAGCAGCGCTCGCTTGACTGTTTGCACAGCCCTCTCCGCGGCGCCATTCGAAGCCGGGGGGTAGGGTGGCGTCATGGTGTGCACCACTCCTTGATCCTTCAAGAAGTTCTTGAACTCCTCACTTCGAAACTGGGGGCCTCCATCAGTTACCACTTCTTCGGGTACTCCAAACTGTGCGAAGACAGCCATAAGTTTCTCGACTGTTTGGGGTGCGGTTGTGGAAGACATGGGCAGGACCTCAACCCATTTAGAAAAACTGTCAACCAAAACAAACAGGTTGGTTCCCGACTTGGTTGCAAAGTCCAAATGAACACGTTCAAAGACCCGCGAGGTCATCTTCCATGGCTGGAGTGGTACTGGAAGAACGTCGTTTTGGACCGCTTGGCAGATCTCGCATGACTGCACCTTGTTCTCGATCATGGCATCGATTCCGGGCCACCACACATGCCCTCTCGCAAGTTGTTTCATACGCACCATTCCTGGATGTTCTTCATGCAGGCTCTTGGGGACCGCAGCCTGTAGTGCCTGTGGAATCACGACTCTAATCCCCCAGAGTAGGCAATCTTGGTCCGTTGACAGCGCCTCCCGCCTGTGCCAGAAGGGTTGCAACCCTGGATCTTGCACGGATGTTGGCCAACCTCTCTTGTTGTGTTCAAGGACACGTTGCAGCAAGGGGTCGCTGAGGGTCTCTTTCCCCACATCAGAACTTGAAAGAAGCGGTTGTTCTGTGGGTGAAAAATATTTCAACATACTTTCCTCTCCTACAGTTGTTTTCAGAGGAAGTCTCGATAGGGCATCAGCATCCCCGAGCTCCCCGTCCTTGCGGTACAGGACCTTGAAGTTGTACTCTGCAAGTAACAAGCGCCACCTCTGGATCCTCGCAGCAGCTATGGCTCTGGTAGAATACTTAGGTCCCAGGATCGACGTTAGCGGGTAGTGGTCAGTTCCGAGGGTGAACGAACGCCCAAATAGATACCGGTGGAATTTCTTGACCGCAAATATGAGTGCCAAGGCCTCTCTTTCCACTTGTGCGTAGTTCTTTTCAGCCACAGTAAGCGTCCTAGGCGCAAACTCCACAGGTCTGTAGTCCCCGTTTCCCATGTCTTGTGTTAAGACTGCTCCGAGGCCGTAGCTGGATGCGTCGGCCGTCACTCGAAGTGGTAGACTAGGGTCGTAGAGGACAATTACCCCAGCACTGCTCAACTGATCTTTGCTTCTGTCTACAGCCTGTTGGCATTCTTCCGACCAATGCCACTTCTTGTCTTTCTTTAAGAGTTCATACAAAGGTCCCAGTGTGGCAACTAAATCTGGGAGGAAACGAGCATAAAAAGCTAGCAGCCCCACAAATGCCTTAACCTCCGTCACGTTACTCGGTGCGGGTGCCTTTTTGATAGCCTCTACCTTCTCAGGGCATGGCTTTAAACCCTGGTCACTCAACAAGTATCCCAAGTAACACACTTCGCGTACAAAAAATTGACACTTGTCCTGATTCACACAAAGGCCATGTTCCCGAAAGCGTTTCAACACTTCCAAGACTCTCTGGTTGCAGTCATTTTGGTCTACGCCACCCACCAGTACATCATCAAGATAGCACGCTACCTTGGTTAGGCCCAACAAAATCTTATCCATTACACTCTGGAAAATTGCTGGTGCGCTCGAGACTCCGTAAGGCATACGTAAAAACTCAAGCAATCCTAGGTGAGTGGTCACTGTGAGCAGTTTCAGCGACGCTTCGTCAAGGGCTAACTGCAAGTATGCAGTCTTTAGATCCAAAATAGCAAAGATGCCACACCCCCGAAAGTTGTTGAACACCTCATCTACCCTCGGTAATGGGTAGTGACCCACCGTCACCTGTGGGTTTACGGACACACTGTAGTCACCACAGATGCGAACTTTACCCCCTGGCTTGGGAACCACAAAAAGGGGTGTTGCCCATTCACTACTTTTTACAGGCCTCAAAATGCCCTGCGCCACCATTTTCTCAAGCTCACTCTCTACTTGCTCTCTGAATGCGTATGGCACCACTCTGTGTTTACAAAACACCGGTTGAGAGCTTTCTTTCAGTACAATCCTTGCCTGAAAACCCTTTATCGGCCCCACTGGACCTTCAAAGACGCTAGGGAACGACCTTTTCAGTGAGTCTGTCATCGTCTCGTTCTCAATATGACCTACGCCCGACCAGTTAATTTCTAACTGCTCGATCCAGTCTCTGCCTAGAAGAGCTGGCAGCTGGGCATTCGCAGACTTTACCACAATCAAAGGTAACTTTTCGCTAGGTAGCTCCCCGTTTTTTACATTAACGCTCGCTACACCCTTGATTGGCACTAGAGCCCCGGTGTACGTTCGGAGACGCATGTCACTCGCCTCAAGGGGCACGCGAGAAAAAAAATTCACATACATTCTTTCTGGCATCAAAGTAACTGCTGAACCAGTGTCGATTTCCATCGTCACCGGTTTTCCTTCGATTTCCAAAACCTTCTGGAATGCCGCAGACGCGTCATTCTTCCGCATACAGGTTACGCTCCAAGGTCCGCGCTTGTTGTTCGAAGTAGGCTTAGGCTTGGCCCTACACACCGCCTTAGTGTGCCCCTGCTTCCCGCATTTGAAACACTTTGCTTTCGAAAACGGACACTTCTCGGAAGCATGCACGGTACTAGCGCATCTAAAACAAGGGCCTACCGTACGCTGATACTGGACCTGTGGCGATGCAGTGGCGGAAGGTGGACACCCGGAGTGTCCTCCACCATCACCTTGAACGCGGTGCACGTCCATTGAGTCCGGAACGCCGGGCTGTCGTATCTCGTCCATTTTGCGCAGAGAAAGTTCTTTGGCCAGGCCCACCTTTAGAACTTCGTGGAAGTAATCGTCGTCAAACTGGATGAGTGTCCGCTGTACCTCAAAGTCGCGACACCCCGCCACGAGCCGTTCCCGAAGAGCCTGGTCGAGGTAGTCCTTGAACGCGCATGTCTGGGCGAGCTTCTTGATAGCCAAGGAGAAGTCCGCTAGGCTCTCGCCGACCTCTTGATTTCTCCAATGGAACTTCGTGCGCGCTGCAATCACTAAGCGCTTGGGCGCGTAGTGGCGTTTCAGCACCTCGGAAAGTACGTCGCACGATTTCGATACCGGCGAGTCTGGGACGAGCAAGGTTTTCAGAACCTGGTACGACGCTTTCCCGATGTAGTTCAGCAGCGTCACGGCCTTGTCTTCCGTCTTGACAGCGTTCACTCGAAGGAAAATCTCGAAGCGTTCGAGATATCCGTCGACGTCGTCCTCTTCCGGCTTGAACTCCATGAACTTCGGCATTGTGCTGTTTGCCACGTTGTTACTCGGTTCGTTTGATCTTCCATCCGAGCCTCGTCGCCATTGTTGTGTCGCGCCGAAGCGCCAAAGAACAGAAGCTCCCACGCAGAGCAACAGCACACAAAGAACAAATTTAATATGGCGAAGACACATTTTACAGGGTAGAGTGCCTTCATACACACGCGCGCTTTTGCTTGAGTGGTGACATCTCAGCCATTTTTCCGCCCAATCGTTTTTTTATGCATTTTTAAGTGCGCGCAATCCGGTGTCACTCAGCTCGAGCGCGTAGTTTTGGCTGATGCATAGACGCCATCTTACCGCCCAAGTCACGCACCGAGTGCGCGAGAGCGTCACGCGCTGGCACATTCCGGACAACAATGGATGTCTTCACCCTAAGACAGACAGACATCTAGGCACCCTATTACAGGGCAAAGACCAGCGCACACCGGCGGTGAGAATAGGAACCTGTGACATTGCTTTATACATACACAACACACACCAGATAAACAAGGACGCATCTTCGCTCTTCTACTGAATGGAGCGCCGATGCTTGGCAGCACTAAAAAATAATTTTTCTTTCTTGAAGAACAATTGTATTATAAGAAATCTGTCTCGCTAACCATTATCGATAATTTGCCTGAATATGCAGTGGCAAATGGGCTTATATTGGAGCCCCCTCGCGATCTTGGCACGGCTGCCTGAGATCGACCCTTTCGAAACCTAAAAAATGGGAAAAGACTGAAATGGCGATTGCCATGGCACAAGGGACTGATCAGCCAATCGCCTTGCGAGGGTTTGGTCTTCTGTATGTTAGTATATGTTTGTGTCCTGCAATCAGTCAGGGAAGGTTACAGCGCTACTCTTCCAGGATCCAACTCCGAGATATTTTTGTTGCGCTCTCTTTGGGTTTTCATCCGCGACATCATGATAAGGATTTGCCTCGCCGTGGCGTCACAAGTTCTGGCCCTGGCTACTTACCATCAGATGCGACAAGTAAAATGGTGTGTTTAAAAATCATAGTAGAAGCTAGGAGCCATCGCGTTTTCAAACCAGCACCGTCGAAGCGGATATTCTGACAATGCTCTTATGCCCGTGATTTGGCCAATCGTGGAAAGCCTACCAGAGCGACAGTTTTGGTCGCGGATGTCGCTAACATACCATTCCAATATTCCCCAAATCATAGCTCTGCCTGCAATATCCACACCTCAGCACGCGCAGGTTTGTAGCTTCAGAAAACGTACATAGCGCGCATCATACCCACTAAACTCGCGGACTACTTTCTGTGGCATTTCAAAAGTTAAAATTGCGCGTGCACAGCTTTGATGGGCGCTCATGATGCTCAAGCGCACGCGCGACCATAGCTTTGACTGCTTAACTACTAAAAACAATGTCCAGAATTATAACACGCCAAATGGCATCGGGTAGAAGCTGTTTTATGAAGTGGTAAGTAAGGAGATAAAGAGAGATATAAGAAAGAATAAATGGGTTTTAGAGAGAGTTCCAGCTTGAAATTGTCTATATTTTGTCCAACGTCCATTTTAGCCACCAAATTAAAAAGAAGCATGACAATATAATATCTGCTCCTAGTACCAGCACGCCGTCTTCCAAGCATTCCTCACAGTGAGAGAGAGGAGGACGTATAAACCAACACCAGTTACAATAGCAAGCTTCTGCTGTGGTTCGCTTGCCAGAGGCCAGCGTTAAGCACAAATTGGACACCAGAGCAGCGTTCCGCTGGGACTTTCTCACAGGTTGAAGACATCCGAACGCTGAAGTAACACTCGTGTCATTGCCCTGCCTTTAAGCGCCGGCCTGCGCTAGCTAACAACACTGCAACCTTCTTAGGTTGCAGTGTTGTACAAGACCTACTTCTTAGGTCTTGTATAAGTCTTGTTCTTTTTAATGCTTGGCTTAATTTTCATTTATTTTTTACTGTTTGTCAAGTTTCGTTTGTACAACCTCGAGTGAAGCATCAATATTTTGTTGAAGTAAAAATGCAACTTATTTTCTTTTCTTTTTCTTTTTTACTGTGTTCTTATACTGCGTTCTTTATACTGCGTTCTTATATCTATCACTTGGTAGGTCCCCATAAGAGCGTCGTTCGAAGAAGGCTCTTCCCTGTGGTCCTGCACAGGAGCAAGTACAAGCGAATAACGGTCCTAGCGAAACCGGTCGCACGTCAACGGATAAGCACCGTTTTCGAACGACGCTCTCTTTGTGCATCCGATACGCCAATCCCCGAATACCGTGCTCCGTGCAGCCTCTGCAAGCAAATCTCGGCAGTACTGATATGAGCGCCTTTGGAAAGTACTCTGAAATAAAATCACCCCAAGATCAGGTAGCACTTAATGAGGCTTTATTAAAAATTAAGCAATGGTCAGACAAATGGCAAATGAAAATAAACAACGATAAAACCGTTGCAATGACAATTACTTGGAAAAAGAATCCCTTGAAATATTGCTATTCAATAGATGCGATTCCCATTAAATTTGTTGACCACTATAAGTATCTTGGAGTGACAATAACCAGTAAACTTCTTTGGAACCAGCATATCGATGACATAACGAATAAGGCCAGGGCAAAATTATACACACTAAGACGCACCTTAAAATTTGCGGATAACGAAACAAAGAAGACTGCTTACCAATCAATTGTACGACCTATTCTAGAGTACGCGCACACAGTATGGTATACGCACACGGCAGAAGGAATTAGTAAACTTGAAAGCGTACAAAGACTGGCTGGAAGGTTTATATTTAATAAGTTCAGATATAGTGTGTCTGCCTCGAGCTTACTAGAGCAAGCTAGCATCCCGCCATTGGAGGTTAGAGCTAAAATAGACAGACTGCGAAATTTATATTCTTTTATTAATGGAATCTTTAATGTCAGTAGTGATAGATACATACAATTTTCATCAAGCGGATCAGCTAGACTGAACCATACTAGGGCCATTAAACAATATCCTCTTAAGCACGATGTCTTCAAATATTCTTTTTTTCCTCGGGCAATCAGTGAATGGAATTCTTTGACGAATGAAATAGTCACCCTCCCATCACTTGATATTTTTGTTGAAGCAATCGCTTCCGCCACGTGAAAGGGCTCATAAGTACATCACATCATACCATTATGTAACCACCCCTGCTATGGCTCACAAATGTGAGCCGCAGTATTCTTCAAATAAAAAAAAAAAAATAACAGTGGAGTACTCGGTCATGGCAACTGTCTTCCACGATTAAGCACCATTGGTTTGCAGTGCTTGTAAAGAACGCCAAGCGTGAAGTTTGTCAAGGGGCGTAGCGAGCGCAACCGCGCAGCCATGTCACGAAAATGCAACAGGCGTTTCTAGTATACTCCGTTTCACCTTATGTTGTACCGCAGAAAAGGCTAGAACGCGAGCTTGTAGCGTTGGCAGTTGCCCTTAATGCCCGAGAGCTTGTGCCACCGAGATCTGCCCCACAGCAAGGAGCTCTCGCTTGCAGCCTTTCCTGCGGTACATCATAAGGTGAAATAGGGTATAGTAGGCCTGTTCTTCGGCCACGGTTATCGCGCGTGCCTTCCACGCCGAAAGCTATGGCTCGATTCCTGGCCGCGGGTACGCATTTTTGTTGACTCTTCTGTAGTGTTCTAGTAAGTCCGAGAACCATGTTCCTGATTCGAGGTTGGAATGTTGTACACGCCGAACCTTCCACGCCGATTGTTCCAGAAGCCCACACGTGTTCAAAAGGGGCTCCGCGTGGCCAGCCGGACTCAGTTTCGCCTCAGCGTTCGATCCTGCTGCTTCGCCGCCTTCGACGCCCGCGACGTTCTGTTGTTATCTTTCGTTTTCCTTTTATTTCTGGGCACAAGTTCGCCCCATTAAACGTTCAGTTTACTGAGTCATTCGCCGCCTCGTCACTTGTCATCCGTGACAATATAGTGCGTGATAGGATAATGGTAAATTGAGCTGAGAGATGGGAGCGATCCAAAACTGGGAGGGGGGGGGAAGGGGCGGCTCTATGCTAGCGCGTATAGGGGTATTCACACGAGGGAGAAATCCCGGGGATTTCTCCCCGGCACGCGCATCCCACGACGAAAACGTCAGGCTTTGCAATGTGCAAAGGCCTCGCGTTTTCATCTCGTGATGCGCGCGTGCCGGGGAGAAATCCCCGGGATTTCTCCCTCGTGTGAATACCCCTTATAGAGCGGCAAAACCTATCTCACGTTTTCACGTGCATAGAAATAAAAAAAAAAAAACACTTCGCATTTCTTTCAAGGTTATTAGCGGAATTTGCCAGAAGACCTAATGCGCGCTCCTCCTCAATCTCGAGCTTTCTGCCTTTGGTAACACATCGGCGCACGCGCAGCCAAACCCCGGTGAAAGGCAACAAGCGCGTGCTGGAGGGGGAGCTTCCACTGAATTCTTGAACAATCGGAAATAATAAACACAAATCGGGACGCAAACAGACGATACAAGAGTTGTATCGTCTGTTTGTGCCCCGAATTTGTGTTTATTCTTTCCGATTGTTTAAGTATTTACCAACACGCTCGTTTTTTGATGTCCACTGAATTCTTTGCCTGTCACCGACTATTGGGGACAGGATGAAAAAGTCACGCCTTCAGCGGTACGCTTCGGCTGTATGGACAACAAACTGAATCTTCTTATTGGTTTTCGATCAGAGATATTAAACATGACGATTCGTAGGCTGCTCCTCATGCGACCAAAGCACGTGTCGAAAGGACGCGCTCGTGACCAGGTCGTGCAAGGCGAAGTTCAATTTCTTTCTTCCTGTGTTGGTAAACACCGGGCAGGGAGGACAACAAGCTCGATGAAGCGCTCTCGTGCTTCGATCTCTTGCCCAATACACAATTCCAGTATTTACAAGTCCTCTGCCCAGCATGCGATCTCCTTAGCACAGAGTTCGCATGTTCGTCGATTCGCGAAGCGAGCAAATCACGCCCCAGACGCATGAATACTGAAAATGGAACCTGCACGGAGCCCTTTTTTTTAAAGGTATATAGAAGAT